ATTATGGTAAACTGGCTTTCTAGGTACATCTTAAATATTAAACCCTGAAACCCCAAGTCGAAGCACAAGAAGCGACTGCGTGGTTTGGATGCAGGGGCTATCGAAAATTGGTGCCACTTCGGTCTATGCGCGTAAGAGGGTCGCTATTCGGGATAGGATACGAGCATCGAAGTGAATGCAGCTGTACGTGTCAGAGGTCCATGTCCAGCAGACGTGATCTTACGAGTTTGACATGTGGATAAAGACCCTAAACCCTAAACCTTAAACCCTAAACCCTAAAAAAACTCTAAACCCTAAGCCCTGCACTGTTCATAAAAAGCATCAAAAGGCTGTGGAGTGAAAAGACTTCCCTAAGGGTCCATATATACTACTACTATGGAATTAGGTCCCCAAAACCATAATATGAATGGTCTTTTGGGACCTAATTCCATAATGGTAGTGTGTATAAGGACCCTCTGGATTTGGGAGTGAAGGATTTCGAGTTCGACTCGGGCTCTCTTGGAAGGCAGGGCGTACAGGGCTTTGGGGTTTAAGGGTTTTAAGGGTTTAGGGGTTTAGGATTTAGGGTTTAGGGGTTTTGGGGGTTTAGGGTTTAGGGTTTAGCGTTTAGGCTCTAGGGTTTAGGGGTTTAGGGGTTAGGGGTTTTAGGGTTTAGGGTTTTGGGGTTTAGGGTGCAATCCCAAAAAGGAACAACTTAGGGGCCTATGGGTAAACCCGAAGACCCTGGCGATTGTTGGGTTTAGAGCTTAGGGTTTAGAGTTTGTTCTACGTACAATTTTTGGTTCCAGGTACACCCTGGAAGACTCAAGCCCGTAAAGCCCCAGGTCCTAAACCCTCAATTCACAACCCCGAAGCATAGACCCATCTTTGGAAAGGTCCTTTCGCAGGAGTTGCGGCAGCTGTTCTTGAAGCGCGTGGTGTGGCGAGACAAGGCCAAGACGTCCAACCGCTTAGGGTTTAGGCTTAGGGACAGGGCATATAAACTATGCAGGGTTTAGAAGTTTAGGGTTTAACTCAATGCCAAGCAACCATATATAAGGAAGTCCGAACACGTAACCGGAAAAAGGAATGTTTCATGTGTTCCAGGTAGCGTTCATGTAAGGTCTGGCGCCTATCCCCGAAGACCCCAACCCTGAAGCCCGAACATTCCAGCATACTAACCCTAAGGGTCCATGTACCCAGGTAGTATATGCCTTGGGCCCAAAGTACCTATTTAGGGACTACTTTACGGCCAACTTATATACTATTTGGGTACATGGACCCTTAGGGTAAAGATCCAGACCCCAAACTTGGAGCATCGACCGCAAACCCTCCACCGGACACTTGCCTTAAGCCGTGTATATATATATATACATACACGTACAGGCACACACACACAGAAGTTTTCTAGAAGCCCTTCGAGACGGTATATAGAGCTATGAAGCCCGACCAGTGCTTACCCTCATGAAACCCTCATCAGTTTCACATGTATATTGCCCTGGCCACAGAATACTCCAAGAGTTTATACGGCTTCCGCAGGCCCCCCCCCCTCCATGTTGCTTGTTGGATAGCCAGCGGGTCTAGGGCTTAGTGTTTAGGGGTCCGAGAAAGTTGTGCTGTCTGCAGTATGTAAGGAAAGGTTCCCAGGCAAGAAATCGCAACGGCCCAGGATTCATGAAGCAAAGGACCGCAATGTCAGGACCCCTAAACCCTAAACCCTAAACCCTAAACCCCAAACCCTAAACCCTAAACCCTAACCTTCATTCCTTGCACAAGAGGGGTTCATCAACTCGGGGGTCTACGTTAAGCACATGCTGAGACCATCCTCGTAGAACCTCCAACCCACGAGCCCCCGCAGATTAGCGCCAGTTTCAAAACTGGAGAATCCCAAATAACTGGCAATACGGTTGATGATTTAAATCCTGCAGTACCCTTATTAATAAGGAATATAATGTACCATAATTCCCATAGATTTAGGGTCCTTAACGTAATGCAGGATTGATATCGTCAACCGTAGTATTCCTGTGGATTCCTGGTTGTAATTCTCGATTCTAGTACAATAACTGCCCCCCCAAAAGCCTACGTACTCCAATTCTTAGGGACCCCTCAGCACTTCTTCCTGTATCCGTAACAAGAGCAAAGGGAAGCAATCCCCACACTCCTAAGCCCTAAACCCTAAACCCTGATCCTAAACCCCAAACCCTAAACCCGAAACCCTAATCCTAAACCCCAAACCCTACACCCGAAACCCTAAACCCTAAACCCTATAAACCCGAAACCCTAAACCCGAAACCCTAACCCCAAACCCTACACCCGAAACCCTAAACCCTAAACCACCCCTAAGCCCGTTGGTCCAGGCCTACTCTCAGCTCTACCGCTGTCCGGATTCTCATTCGGTGCCTTGGGGTTTAGGGGTTTAGGGGTTTAGGGGTTTAGGGTTTAGGGGTTAGGGTTTAGGGGTTTAGGGGTTTAGGGGTTTAGGGTTTAGGGTGCCTTGATTGCAGTCCAGTTGGGTGTTTTGTTCTTGTGGGTCAGGGCCTGGCGGCGTTTGAAGAGGACGATTGAACCTTCAATGTACACTTGATCCGAAATTTCGAACAGACCTAAACCCACCCCGGCTCCACTTTATTCGAGGCTAAATCCTCAAGCCGGGGTCAGCGTATCTTGCTAACCAGTACCTACACCAAAGTCATACCTGCAGCGTTAGAGGTTAGATTTCATGGCTAACTGCGGTGGGACGAAAGTTTGACCCTCTCGCTGCTCACTGTGATTTTATGCGAGAGGCTCCTCCTGCCTCCTGGTGAACAGACCACTCCTCCCGCTACTCTCTGCCGGTGGTCTTGTGATAGGAAGAGTCCAGTGGATGATTTGTGTCCTCTCGATGTGCGCTTAGGGCTTGCGCATTATGCTCTACTTATACAAGGTCAGCAGGCTTATACTTATAGTATAGTGTTGTTAAAGCCACTACTTCTACACCCCTAAACCCTAAACCCCTAAAACCTAAACCCCTAAACACCTAAACCCTAAACCCCTGAACCGGAAACCCTGAACTCCTAAACCCCCTAACCTAAACCCTCTAAACCCCTAAACCCTTTAAACCCCTACCTGCGGAGTCTCCTCAGCCATTGAGTCGACGCTGAGCCCCACGCCGCAAAAACCCTAAAACCGTCGGGTAGGGCTTAGGGTTCATAGGGCATTAAAGGTTTAGGATTTAGGGCTTAAGGTTTAGGGTTTAGGGCTTAAGGTTTAGAGTGTAGGGCTTACGGTTTAGGGTTAAGGCTTTAACCCTGAACCCTAAACCGCTTGAGGGCTTACAAGAAGTAAAGACGTCCCCATGTAGTCCTTACATGGCTCTAGCTAATATGCCAGACAGACCTTAGGAACTCTTCAGACATGTATATACCGTTCGAAGCCACAGTTTGATTCCCAGTCCTTTAAACTCCACTTGGAGGATCATGGGACTCAGGAGGTAAGGTTCTAAGTAGTTTAGTTGGTTGGAGTCATAAGCAGTTATAACTATAGTTACCTTATTTACAATCACGAGTTACTGAGCCCCATGGTCCTCCGAGTACTTTCATAGTAGATACTTAAGTTACTTAAGCCTTAAAGGGGTTCTTCTGTAGGTACTTTAAGGCCTAGGTAAATACTATATGGGCACATGGAGCCTTAGGGTAATCAAGCCTTGAGGTAAGTCCCATGATCCTCCAAGTAAGGTCAGCATCCGTCCCCAGTATGAGCAAGAAGCCTGGAGCGGCACTCGACTGCAGCTTCGGCGATGGCAGCGGGGCGAGACAGGACCGGAGTTGAGGGTGAGTCTGTATGTCCTGAATCCCTAAACCCTAAAATCCTAAAACCCTAAATTTGGGATCTTTTCTCGAAATCTGTTGCGTGCCCCGGAGGGGTTTTAGGGTGTACAGCTCATAGAGATTAGACTGCTAGTTTTGTTCGAATTCATGTGCGTGCGCCAGCCTCTCCACAACCGGCTGCCTCCGTTTTGTGGTTCCCGGTCACGTATGATTAGAAGAGTGTTGACTTTGATCAGTTGGATTAATAAAAGCTTTCGGTTTGAGGGTTTACGGTTCACGGTTTCGGGTAGCCCTTCAGTCCACCGAGCTGTCACATGAATTGTCGTTTTGCATGCTCGCCGGAGTAAAGGACACGGCTCGCCGGCGAGGTCTACTATACGGGTTTAGCATACGGGCGGCCTGAATTGAATACTTAGAACAGGGTTCCGGGGTAAATGTTTGCACACGGAGCCCAAAGGAGTAGTATTCGTGAGTATGTCCACCCGCACATGGTAATATGGTAGTTAAACCCAAAACCCTAAACCCTGTTGTAATACCTTCCGTGCCTTAAGATTACCGACTCTATGGTTTCGGTTCTAGCATATGTAAAGCGGTTGCCAAGAAAAGGTAGTGCAGCTCACGGTCTGGGAAGGATTTCATGCCGCTTAGCCTACTACAGTTCCCTGTCAACCAAGTAAATCACCTACCCTTTGGGGTTCCTTACTAAAGTTTCCTTATATAGGACCTTAGCAAAGTCGGTTTTTCTGGGTCCAGTCAAGCCCTAAACCCTAAACCGCATGCCCTGGACCCTAAACCCTAAACCCTGAACCCTAAACCGTCCGGAGCAGGCTATCCGCTGGTCGATGCAGCCATGCGCCAACTCTGGAAAGTGGCGCAGCTCATAGAGATGTTGTCAGATGTGTTCCGGGTCTTGGTTTTGGGATTAGGAGTAAGCGAGCTTTTTCTAATCCGCAGAAAAGGTATGTAAAAAAGGGTTCGCGGCAAGCCCTGCAGCTGTTCCGTTGAGGGTGCGGGCTTCCGCAAAAAAAATAGGCTCTGAGCTCCAGAGGCTGAATTTCCTCGCAAACCAGAACCTCGAAACCCTAAAGCCGAAAGATGCAATGTGGCTGTGGACTCCGGCTGGTGCACGTGGAGCTGATCATGAAAATGATGTATGGGGTACAGGGCTGCTTCAGCTGGGAGCACCCTCGTGTAGAAGGAGCGCGACGCATCGAAGACCCGAAATACGGAAGGCTGAATGCCCTCAGACCGGGTCCCCAACATACCTCAGATCGGGTCCCAAGCCTTGGCTGGGGGGACACTTAGAGGCTGGCTGTCCCTGTATGAATATATACTTTAGTATACCCCCAGTCCCGATAATCACTACCGAATGCCCCTTGTTTTCTCAAACCTGTAAAACCCTGGCAAAGCCCTGTTCTATGGCACAATTCGAGAAAACTCAGAAACTATCCCAACTACTATCCTACAGAACAGCTACCCTAAACGCCAGCACCTAGTTGCTGGGTCCGTTAGACCCTTGTGTAAACCGTTTAATAGCTTCACAGCACCCGATAACTTTCTATTGCGTAAATGAGCTCAGCTCTGTAAACTCACAGCAGGCCCGAAACCACTAAACCCTAACAACCATGTTCATATCTTGCGACAGGTCAGGATCTGCCTCAAGGGATCTTTAGCTGAACGAAAGGATATAAAGCTCCTGAAGAAAAAAACCATCCCCACCCGACCCCTTAGGTCAGGCCCGTAGTATAGGGGCCTAAATGATTATTAAAGCAACTATCCTTTAGGGCTCCAAGGGCAAATGATAGCATGATCTACCCCAAACCATATTGAACTCATCAGGGCCTCAGAAAGCATTGCCGCCGCGCCCCCCCCGCCTCCCGGCCCCAACCTACAGCCACTAAACCTCTTCAGCATATTACCGCCCCAGAAACCTGCCTGCCAGACCAGTAGTCTAAATACCAAAAGCTACCCTAAACCCTATGCACTAAAAGGTGGAGCAAGGGCTGGAGTAAAAAGGGGCTTAAACCAAAAAATAAATGTGACTCTAAAGCCTCAGGTGGGTTGGATGTGCAACCATCTGCGCCACGTGACAGCGCAATTCCTGATCGAGCACTTAGATCTGAGCTGGAAGGAAGGCATCGCAGCTTTCGGGGTATCAGGACTTCTTGGATCCTAGGAAACCTACCTTTGTAGGGTCCCTTACTATAATTTCCTTATACAAATCCCTGAAAAGTTGGGTTTCTTAGGATCCAGGCTGGGTTGCAGGATAACGGGTCTAGGGCTTATGCTTATGCAAAGGTTCAAAAAAGATGTAGAATTTCTCGTGGAAGGAAGTACGTCAAGTCGCATTATCCTGAATCTAGAGGTTCAGTGTGTCGGGATTTATCTGGGGTTCGACTGGGGTTCAGAATTGAGGGGTTGTGGCATTGGTTTATACTTAGGGATTCAGCAGTAGCATTGTAGGGTTCAGGGACTTAGAGGGTTCTGGCGCGGCCGGTTGGTTTTTCTTCCTGAGGCCAACATGCAGCCGGGATGGTCTGACTATGGCTGGCAACTGGGGAAGTCCACGATGAAGGTGGACTACTACATCCACTCGGCGGAGAAGATCTGAACGCACGGTTCGCCCAAAGTTCTTCTTGGCGGCCCTGGGGATTGTGCAGCCAATGAAAAACTCCAGCCCTTTTTGGACTACCAAGTAGAAGAGCATGACATGAGCTCATGCTACAGTCCGTATTTATACGTACTTGTTTCGGTAGGCAATGACGACGTTTAGGACTGCGAGTTACTGTAACTACTTCGGATACTACTCTTGCTTCTACTGCTCGAATAACTCTAGAACAGATCATACTGCCACGACGGATAATCTCTTTGCAGACTGACACTTGCAGATTCAATTGCGAGCAATGTAGATTTGATTCATTAAATCAGTATTCTGCCCTGTGCTAATTGCATCGGCTGGGCTTCTGCGTGCCCACCCTACACCTCAAGGAGCTCGACTCCAGAAGCACCCCGAGTCCTGCACCCTACAGCTTAAGTTCCAAATGCTGCCTCACGGGACAAGCCTTCACTGCGGCCACTGACTGATGACATAGTTTTTTACAAAAAACCATAGGTTTTATAGTTGTTTTTTTTTAAAAAAAAACCTATGCGTGTTCGAGCTTATTTTGAGCTGAACCCCTGAGACGGCTGTCCACCTCAGCCCCACCCTTGACGAGGCTTCGCCTGGTATGATTACACCTTGGTGGACACCGACGTCGCCATCAATGCCATGATGTGGCAGATGGGTGGCGTGCTCAGTCCCTAAGTCCTTAAGGCTCTGAGGCTTCGTAATGGTTCATCTGTTGAGGGCTTTTGGGCCCTTACAGACCTTTGGGTCTAGCGCTTTAGGGTAAGACTATAGAGTCTGTTTCGGCTATTTTGAGCCTCAGGGAGTCGATCTGCACAACGGCAGTGGCTACCGCGACAAGGATATGGCCACCATATTAAGGAGAGCTCATCGCCGCTACAGATACTGGACTACCATATAACTGGTGCTTCCACGTCTCGTTTCTCTGCTGATGTAGCTAGTGCTGCCCTAAACCCTAAACCCC